CTCATCCTGCCCCCTTGACCTGTCCGTCCTCCCTGGACTGACCTATCTCCTCCCTACCTCCCCACCTACACTCACCTTTACTGGCTCCAACCCCGCCTCTTTGACCTGTCTGTTTCCTCTCCACCTATCTTCTCCTCTATCCATCTTCTATCCGCCTCCCGCTCTCTCTCTATTTATTTCAGAACCCCCTTCCCCTCCCCCTTTGCTGATGAAGGGTCTAGGCCCGAAACGTCAGCCTTCCTGCTCCTATGATGCTGCTTGATGACAGTGACTTTGCTGCCAACAACTATACAACTGGTTGTCAGGTAACTGAGCAGCTTGGAACTAGGAACAGGTTATAGAGAAAGGAAAGAGTTCAGTTCTTTCCCAGCTCGAGAACGGTCTCTTAGTTCTCTGCAGTCAAAACTCACTGTAATCCGAAAGAAAACTAGTTTATCTTTCCTGCAATGGTTGTTGTAAGCTGTTATGTTTAATTGATAAGTCAGGGACCTTTTACAAATGAAACAGTCAGCTGTGTCTCTCATCAATCAGTGGAAGCATGTAGAGAAAGACAACTGATGCAAAGTGCTGGCCAGCAGAAGTGTCATAAAGATCATCTCAACAGCAAAACTTGGGAACAAAGACAAAATTGTCATTCCAGTTTTTCCCCTGTGTCCATCACCTATTTCTCGCTGTCTGTTTGTCTGTCTAAGGGGAAGTTTATAAGTGGATTAGAGTTATAATTAGTAGCATTATAAGCTGATGGTTTATAACTGCTTGCCCAGAGTCTAATTGCGTGTAATGAATAGTAATTCTTGTTCTTGATCAGTAACCTGATCCATGCTTTTTATCAGTCTGGGTCTTGGGTCTGAGAGTTAGGAGGTTGTTTTTTGACCAGAGCACATTCAATGGGTTGAAGGGCCTTTTTCTGTTCTGTAGACTTCCTTGACTATGACTCTATGAAAATCAGGTAAATTGGCAGCTTTGTTTACTTGAGAAAATCTTTAAGTTTTGTAACAACTCAACGAATGGCCACACATTACTCCAGTAGGGTTGACACTCTGTCAAAATAAAAACTGAAAACACTGTGGATGCTATAAATCAGGAACAAAAACGGAAGTTGCTGGAAAAGCTCAGCAGGTCTGGCAGCATCTGTGAAGAAAAACTCAGAGTTAACGTTTCGGGTCTGGTGACCCTTTCTCAGAACTGGGAAAACAGCTTGTGTAGCTGACAAAGTTACTTCTCTCACCTTTACACTGTTTCTTGTACAAGGCTTCGACCAGGATGTGCTCCAGTTTTTCCAACAACTCAGCATGCTCCAGTTCCCCATTCACCCTCACCAGAATTTTCTGCTTCACCTCAAACCACTTCTCCAATTTGGGCCAATGGTCAAGGAAGCCAGTGAGCCTGTAAAAGGAGAACATAAGAACATAAAAACTAGGAGCAGGAGGAGGCCATCTGGCCCCTTGAGCCTGCCCTGCCATTTAATAAGATCATGGCTGATCTTTTGGAGACTCAGCTCCACTTACCCACCCGCTCACCATGACCCTTAATTCCTTTACTGTTCAAAAATTTACCTAGCCTTGCCTTAAAAACATTCAGCGAGGTAGCTTCAACCGCTTCACTGGGCAGGGAATTCCGCAGATTCACAACCCTTTGGGTGAAGAAGTTCCTCCTGATCTCAGTCCTACATCTGCTTCCCTTTATTTTGGAATCAACCAAGTGAATCTCCTCTGCACCCCCTCCAGTGCTAGTATATCTCTTCTCAAGTAAGGAGACCAAAACTGCACACAGTACTCCAGGTGTGGCCTCACCAGGACCCTATACAGCTGCAGCATAGCCTCCCTGTTTTTAAACTCCATCCCTCGAGCAATGACAGACAAAATTCCATTTGCCTTTTTAATTACCTGCTGCACCTGCAATCCCACCTTCAGCGATTCATGCACAAGGACACCCAAGTTCCTTTGCACAGCAGCGTGTTGCAATTTTTTACCATTTAAAACATAGTCCATTTTGCTGTTATTCCTACCAAAATGGATGACCTCACACTTATCAACATTGTACTCCATCTGCCAGACCTTTGCCCACTCACTTAGACTATCTATATCCCTCTGCAGACTTTCAGTGTCTTCTGCACACTTTGCTCTACCACTCACCTTAGTGTCATCTGCAAATTTTGACACACCACACTTAGTCCCCAACTCCAAATCATCTATGTAAATTGTAAACAATTGCGGTCCCAACACTGATCCCTGAGGCACACCACTAGCCACTGACCACCAACCAGAAAAACACCCATTTACCCATACTCTTTGCTTTCTACTGG